CATCACGTGAAATCGGTTGAAATCAATGAAATCGGAATGAAGCGGAATCAGTGAAACCGAAACGCGAATTTACTGGCGCAGTGCACTGAGAGAAATATCATCATAATATCACAAAACTCTTGAGGATAAATTTCGTGGGATAAGAATTCCGGATAGTGTGTCAGACAATGTCAGATTTCAGTGAAGTGTTCTTGACTTGAACTCGAACTCGAAATTTCATGATAAAGTGAGAATTTCTTGCCACAAGAAATCGGTTTTTTCGTGTCAGAAGATGAGAAAATGACCAAAAATATTAAAAGCTTCGATTTAGTGAATCATGAATCAGAGACTTTCATATTGAATGAATAAAGAGTTTATGTAGAGGAAGACCTCCAGATATTAAAAAAATATAACCGTCGCTTACGCTCAATCGCTTTGAATTCGAAGGGAAGCAATATTTTCTTTGCCTTCTATCAAACTGTTCTTGTCTTTGAAGGAATATTATTTCATTTCGAAAAAAGACCACCTTTTCATTCAGTAACTTCCTCTTTAGCCCGAAAAGCACCGATTTCTTGTCTGAAACCTACCATAAATTCTTAAAAATTTAAAGCAAATTTGCAGTGTCCAAAAATTGAAGTTTATTGGAAGTTATGGGATTAGGGAAACCAAAAACTAACTTCATACTTAAACACAAAGATTGAGTTAGAGTTGAGCATTTGTATTACACTGTTAAAAATTTTCGTCTGAACCTTCCGTGCCAAATTCCGTAAATTTTTATCGTGTTCAAGTGCCACTGAAATTTCAGGAAATCGTATCATTGAAAAATCAAATATTCCATTGATTTTCTTTTCAGATGATCTCAGAATCAATAAAATACTTAATTTTCAGTTCAATTATTCTGTGACAATTCAAAAAAATTAGAAAATTTCAGGGAACAATTGAAAATTAATGTCATTTTGTTTCTGAATATTCATGTTCCACTGAAAATTCAATCAAGTGGTGAAATTTCCATCTCACTCCCCCTGAAAACTCATGAATTTCCGTGAATTCTACTTAAAACTTCAAATTTCATAACCATTTTTCCCTAAATCCGAATCAATGTCACTCTCACGAGATTAACTATAATGTCTTCCATGAAATTTCAAAAAATCCATGGTGTTTTGTGATGTCATCTGTAGGATAGACAACTGCATATAAAATGCACGTCCACACCACTTATGTAAAGAGATAAATGGATTAATTAAATGATTATTTTGCTCACTTCAATAAACTCTTTCAACTATTTCATTAATTTTCTCCAAAAAGTAGACCTCACAACTTTTTCCTGATTTCTAAAATGTTTCCATACGTTTCAAAATCTAGAATTAACTTCAAATTTTAAAGAATTTGGATGACTAAATCGTTGCGAAATATCCACTGCCCCAGGATTCAATGGGCCTCAAATGGTAATTTCCGATTACACGTCGAGTGCTCTTTCCGACTGAGCTATCCGGCTCGGAGCCTCCACAAATGGTAATTCTGGAGCGCTATTCTCATCGGAAAAGCCACTTCAAAAAGGTACTCCCAAATCTACAAAATAGAAAATCCTCGATTCTATATTACGTATGTTTGATAATTTTTTCGCAGAGTCATTCAAACTTCATACAAACTCGTTTATCAAGTGCCATTATCATCTTGGAAACATATATAAAAATCATAACAAGAGGGTTTTTTACAATGAGAATAACTCCCCGGAACTTTCATTTGAGCTCCCTTTGATCCCCCACCGAACATTGTGTAATGATTTCATCATTTAAGCTTGTCAAGCCTCATTTGAATTCCATCTAATCTTTAATTACAATTGTGTTACAAATATATAAACAAGCACGGGTTCGAGCCTGTCCGACAGAAGACATGTAACCGTTACTTTTTGCGTCATTCCTCTTTTTCTTTTTTTATTTATACAAATTCCATTGGTTCACTGTTGAAAATTATCGCCTGAATTTTCTGTGCCAAATTCCGGAAATTTTTATCGTGTTCAAGTTCCACTGAAATTCCAAGAAATCTTGTCATTGAAAAGTGAAATCAGTAGCGAAGTGGTAAAACGGCTTAAGTCAATTTGGACTATTGGCCAGTTTTCAATGAATATCTCGGAATCTAAGGGAGATAATGAAATTTTTGTAATAACCTTTTTTCTAGAGCAAATTAAGGGCTACAAGAAAAGTTTGAACAAAAATTTAGCTATCCCCCTTAGATTCCGAAATATTCACTAAAAACTGGTCAATTGTCAAAATCGACTTAAACCGCGTTACCACTTCGCTACTGAATTGAAATCGGTACAGTAGTTTTTGAGATATTGAGGAAATAACATTTTCCACCATTCGCAACCAAAATCAGAAAATCTACAAATTGGTCAAATACAAGGCTTTCCATTTCAAACTATCCACGAGTAAACGGTAAATCAAAATGTGAAGACCCCCCCATTAAAAGTTTCAAAGATATCCCGAGTTTGAAATTTTTCAGCGTGTTATCTTTGATGGCAAACCCGCTGTTGTGATACTAGGAGTTAAAAGCCCACGAAAGTAACACTGACGGTGAAAATAAAAGTATAGGGTATTTCACGTTAAATAACTGGGTAACGTAACGAAACCATTTGCGTCGGAGGGTGAAACCGAGTTAAAGCACTAATTAAGTGTTTTTCATTTAACCACCCCATTTCTCTTTTATTTTTTTTTCTCTCATTCTCCATTCCCTCTTTGCCCTCGTTTTATTGCATTCCCATCGATTTACGGAGTGTTACAAGTTTTTACTCAGTATGTTACTCGAGTAGTCTATACACAGTCTTATTAGATTTAGGTGTATGAGGGTTTTACCTCTGAGAAATGGAAAATAGGGAAGGGAGTTGAAACATCAAAACTTTTCCACTTCGTGGCGAAACTTGTATGCCCAAAGTTTTCGCTGTCGTAGATGAAGGGGGAAAAGTTTTTCTTTTTCGATGAATATAGCCGTTGGCGTTGATGCACAGGGGATTTCGAGTGGTGCCGGTAAAGGGGCAATACGAGCGAGGAAAGGGGGGGCTGAGAGGAGACAAACAACGGGGGATAATAGCCCTTGACTCATGACTGGCAGCGATACCACTTTGTACCACCATTTTTCCATATTTTTCATTCGCCCAGGAAATTGAACAATTTATCGTGGAATCAAATGTCACTAAAATACGGCATGCCATCTTGGTAGACTAAACCAACGCCTGCCCGCACATTTAAATATAGTGATAACAATTATCGCGGTTAATTTGTTTGCCCTCTGATAGATAATTTCGTTAAACCGGATGAAATTCAATCAACGAACGTAATTACGCGGTTGGTTTATACGTGGTTATACATAGACCACGTATAGACCATAGTAATGCTCTATATGAGCAGTCCAGTGGTAGTTTTGGTTGCTCTCGAGACTGGACTAATGCATAAACGACCCATATGCACTTGCGTCTCGAGTTCTCCTCGTATTGCTCAATCGAAATTGCCCTTGAAAACCGCCATTATCATGTCCTGGATGATCCTACCAGTGCCATCAATTACAGCTGGGGCACTCGGAGAGTGGGCGAAATGAAAAGGGATGAAAATGAGGGGAAAAGGAAAATCGTAAAATAATAAGGGAAAAATAAAGCGCATACCACGAGGAGGGAAATTGAATGAAACTAGGGAGTGAAGGTGGCATTAAAATTTTTATAATGAAAACCGTCATTTCACTTCTCTTTTCCGCCCTTGAACGTTTCCGCCGTGGAAAAAAAGCCCCCGTCAATTGCACTCATAGGATCCGAGTGGTTTGGATAGTGGAGTGGGGTTGGAGCGCTGAGTAAAGGATGCCAGGCTCGTTTCCTTTTCCACTTGTCGAGTGTGAACGCCAGAGGAGTTCCTTCCTCGTTTCCTTCCTTTTCTCAGTTTCCATTTCAACCGGAATGAGAACCAACAAAACTATTTTCCATGGATTTCCTACCATCTCCATTCCTCGTCTCTCGCTTACTCTCACCCCTCCCCCTCCTTCCTGGATTTATCATGCATGCTCCCCACTTGTCTTTCTCCACCGCTCTATTGAAATATTGAAATAAGGAACAAGTTCCACCTCACACGAGACCCCACCCCCTTTCTTTATTCCCCGTCTTCACGAGATGGAGAAGTAGTCTAATGGAACGCGTGGGAGATGACCCTGAGGGGAGGAAAAATTTAATGACGAAAGTTCTTTGCCGAAGGAGAAGATGTAGGAGGAGAGAAGAGGAGAAGGAAGGGGGAGAAAAACCATGGAAAAATTTGAATCTCATAATTTAAAGAATAAAAGAAGAGCACGAATGAATTTTCGATGAAATGGCGAATTAAATCCACTCGACTCACCCAACCCACGTAACAGTATATTTCTGTAACCATTTCACTACCTCAATCGATCGAATCTACAGATAATTCTCTCAGACAATCCCCATCACACCCCGAGATCTCCAATTTCTCTCCTCTTCGATCCATAAAGGTAATGATCAGGGCCCGGACCTTCATGTGATTACCATTGTTATCAAAAATCATTCAATTGTTATTGACAATCGTAATCACACGAAGTTACGGGCTCTGGTAATGATCTTCGAAGAACCCTTGGAGCACAAAAAAAGTAAAAAATCGAGAGGGTTGAAGGCATTCCCGTCCCCCCACAGAGATTTCAAAAAATAATATTTTCTCTAATGTCACTGAAAAAATGACAAAAGACTCTTGAGTTCCAGCGATAACAATCCCTTGAGGATCATATCATGTGTGTTGTGTACACGAGGTGTTCCGCTGCGGAGGGAAAAGAACGGGCAAAACCAAAGCCGACCAAGGGGAGAGTGAAAAAAATAGTGCTACTCTCGTGATCCCCAGTTGTTTCTCAAGCCCCACTGGGTACCCCCGTCATAAACTACCCGTAAACCAAAAGACAAAGCACGTAAAGAATTGATAACAACAGCTCTAAATGAAAAAATCTTCCCCCCCAGTGAATAAAATCTGAGACTGATTCCTCACCTGTTGCAAATGATTTCACTCAGCTTCAATCACCACCAGATGCCATGCCTGCACTTTCTTTGGTCCCAGTTGTCCATGCGAGAAAACAGAGTCCAGTGCGCGACTAACCTTGGGCTGATTGAATAATCAAATTCCAATTTTCAAAAGCCAATCGGCAAAATGCACAGGTAACCAAAAATTACTCAAAGCCCAAAACTAATCCCCCCCCCCACAATATTTGAATAAATAATAAACCTCGCAACTGTGAATAATTGAAAATAGCGGTATGACTATTCAGCACGATGCTAACGTGGAAACGACTTTGGGGATATTGTCAGTAGTGTATATCGGTGGGAAGTGAAGAGGTATATTCCCTGTTATCCTGTAAACAGGAGGCCAAGTCTCCCACTACCCGTTAGCAAGTGGGGAAAACCTTCTGTCGTTTACCCGGTTGCCCGTGTTAAGGACGCAGGCGCGCGCTTGCCCAGGGTATAGGCCTGCCCTGCCGCCTCCCTGACTCTGCCTTGCCGCTCTCTGCCTGGATATTATAGGTCTGGGCTGCAGGTAGAGCTTTGGCTAGGAGCTCTCTCCAATCCTCTGTAGCCCCTCTTTCTCTTTCTCTCCCGCTGTACCCCCCCCCCCCCCCCCCCCCCCCCC